AGTACTCATGACAACCGCCTGCTGGAATACATACATAATCACTTGGCGTGGTCATACGAGCCCTATCAACGGTCGTTGTTACTTCTCAGGTACAATAGAACCCCGACGTCCATGCTGTCTATGAACACGTTTCTCGTTGAGAGCGTGCCGGCCGGAGCGCCTACGTGCCCATGAGCGGTCGGGTGCCCAGGCGGCACCTTCCGTACCATGATTTGTTTGTACCGACCCTTTTCTGCCTACAGCCGACAGCGCGTATCACTCTACCACATGCATGACAAGATAGAATATGTTATTGCGTTTGAAGGCGTCTTCGTTCAAGGTTGTTGTCCAGGTATATGTGGGTATTTCTACAACTATAAAATAAGACCACAGGGGGCGACCAATACTCAGCACCAACAGGTCTCTCATCTCTCAGGCTTTCTTCGGTCTCAAAAAATCAAAACTACTCACCATGAGGACTTTCACTCTTGCTATCACTATCGCTCTCTCCCTCCTTCAGGTGTCTTTTGCGGCCCCTGCTATCAAGGCCCGGGACTGCCAAACTATCCCATCGACCGCCGACCCAGCCGTCCGTGACCAAGTCTACCGCATCACTCAATCTCGCGCTGTAACCGCCAAGGTCTTGCTCAGCACCTTCGAGGTATGTAAACGCACTCGCTTCAAGCCACAGTCATTAACTTATGCGATTGCTTCAGACCGCCTGGATCGAGTCTCATGTCAACAATTTGTGAGCATTCGTCCCCAGTCCGGCCATCTTTTCCATTGAACTAACTCACGAGAACTCCAGGCCTTGCGGTGACCAGGACTCAATTGGTGTCTTCCAGCAGCGTCCCAGCCAAGGATGGGGAACCTACGACCAAATCATGAACGTCGACTACAGCACCAACAAGGTAAGCCTTCTCTCGGCAAGCAATGGAACCGCATATATTCACCATATAAAATCGTAGTACCTCGACCAGGCCATCGTCAACGACAGGAACAATCCAGGATACACCGCTGGCCAACTCGCCCAGTCTGTTCAGCGCTCTGAATTCCCCGATCGTGTAAGTTCATCTATTCCAGAGTGTCTGACCAATGATTACTTACTCGTCCTCCTAGTACGACCAAGCTCAGAGCATCGCTCAAGATTTGATTAACCAGGCTATTGCGTCGGTCGGCGGAGGAACTAACCCTGGTACCGGTAAGTGCGCCGGTGTCGCGGCGTACGGTGCCTCTACGGTCTATACTGGAGGGCAGAAGTGCACTTATGGAGGGTAAGTGACTCGGGACTTCGTCA